CCAATACCACCATCCAAGCATGCATGCATGAACTGATATGTTTTCACAGGGGGATATGAATTGCTTTCAGCATGTTGTATGTTATGAGAACTCAGATTTTTGTTTCATGGTCGCATCCAGCTGTGCTCAAGGATTACTCCTGGTGATGCTTAGGAAACATACGATATGCTGGGGATGGAACCAGGCTTGAAGGCACCTGCTGAACCATTTGTTTTAGAAGAGAAATTTCTCTTTGAAGGGGGGGAGGATCTGTAGCGATAGCACAGTGGGTAGAGCATTTGCCTTGCACGCAGCCAACCCGGGTTCGAGTCCCAGCATCCCATATGGTCCCCCGAGCACCGCCAGGAGTGATTCCTGAGGGCAAAGCCAGGAGTAACCCCTGTGCATCGCTGAGTGTGACCCCCCCAAAAAAAAGAAAGAAAGAAAAGAGAAGGGGCTGGAGCCATTGTACAGTGGGTAGGGCGTTTGCCTTGCACACAAGCCAACCCGGGTTCGAGTCCCAGCATGCCATATGGTCCCCCGAGCACTGCCAGGAGTGATTCCTGAGTGCAAAGCCAGGAGTAACCCCTGTGCATCGCTGGGTGGGACCCAAAAAGGAAAGAAAGAAAGAAAGAAAGAAAGAAAGAAAGAAAGAAAGAAAGAAAGAAAGAAAGAAAGAAAGAAAAGAGAAGGGGCTGGAGCCATTGCACAGCGGGTAGGGCATTTGCCTTGCACACAAGCCGACCCGGGTTCAATTCCCAGCATCCCATATGGTCCCCTGAGCACCGCCAGGAATAATTCCTGAGTGCATGAGCCAGGAGTAATCCCTGTGCATCGCTGGGTGTGATGCAAAAAAAGAAAAAAAAAGAAAGAGAAGAAAAGAAAAGAAAGGGCGGCCGGAAGTAACAGAGAGGGCAGCGAGAGGGCAGCGGCATATACATCAGCCTTTGTCTCGGGCTGAGGGCTGAGGCGCTATTTCCGGCTGTGACTAGCCATAGCTGGGGGGGGGGGCTGTTTTTCCTGAGTCTCTGCCACGGACACAGGAGGGACATGTGTTATTAAACTGCTGTTTGCTTTTGTCCTGCTAATTTGTCTTTTATTACAGGGGTGCTCGGCCAAGCACCCACGGGGTAGAAGGCAAATCCTTTTCCCTCCCCAGGCCCAGGAAACAGATTTCGGCAGCAAATAAGGCCAGAGGTGACTCCTGATTTCCGAATTATTAACTTTTTTTAGCTAGAAGGGCCAGAATGACCATTACCCACTGGAAGTCATTGCTCTTTGTTCAAATTTGATTCCCGAGGCTTCCTGGTGCTTTCAGTCTGACGATTCACTTACTGGACTTCTTTTTACTTTAATAACACTTCTCACCAGCATCACAAATGCCGGCTCTGCAGGCTATTTTTCCGCTAAGAAACTGATTGCAGGCCATAAAGACATTTAGTCGCAAGGAGGTTTTCTTGTTCTTGGTTCACTCCTAAGTAGAGAAGTATCAAAACATAAAAACGCACATCACCTCTGCCTGCGCCATCCTCTCCCAGGATCCAGCGCACAGACATGCGCAAGGACGCTTGGACCCAGAGAGGAACAGCCAGATTGAAAGCAGAGAAAGAGGGGCCGGAGCAATAGGACTGGGGGGCAGGGGCGCTTGCCTGGCCCACAGCTGACCGGGGTTTGGTCCCCACCCCCACAGAGGGTCCTCTGAGCCCTCGCCACAAGTGATCCCTGAGCGTAGAGGCAGGAGTGAGCCTAAAACACCACACCACTGCCTGGGACCCACAGAAATAGAACCCACAGAAATAGAACAGCCAAAGAATGGACACACTCCTGAGGTCAGGGAGATAACCCAAAGGACTGAGCACATGCTTTGGATGCCAGAACTAGAAATAGCCCCCTTCTAGCACCGACGGTGCACACACACACACATACACACACACACACACGACAAAAGTTCAAATACACACAATCTTAAATGAGACTCTCCTCAATATAAGATGAGTTAAATAAAGACTTAACACATACGATCAACTGTGTGACCATGCAAGCAAATAAGCCACATACCAGACGGGGGGGAAAAGTATCTGTGTGTGTGTATGTGTGTGTGTGTGTGTGTGTGTGTGTGTGTAGGAATCATGGAAAATTCCAGGAACTGGGCACAGGGTACCCCAGGCACCATAGGGCTGGAGCAGCACTGCATCCTCAGATGCCCAGCACTGAACCCTATCGCTTGAGTATCACCAGGAGTGGCCCCTGGGTCCCCTAAGGGCTGCTTGAGAGACCCAAAGAGCCTAAAGAAAAGCAAATGCAGGCCAGACGCCCACACACACACACTGACATGCAGTGCGCAGGTCCAAAAGCAAAGGTGAAAGCGTCTCAAGCATGCTAGCACATGTGTTTCTGTAAAATGGAGAATGTTCACATGTGTGCAACAGTGGGCTTACAAGCGTGCGTGCACATATACACACACACAAACACACACACACACACACACACACACACACACACACACCCCTCTGGGAAAATAACAGAAGAAATGAATGAAGGGAACGGAGGTGAGGAAGGGGCAGTGAAGAGCAATTTGATACCCTTTTGTAAGGCTTTTGCCCCCGATAATAAAATTTTTTCTAAATACATACACAGAGTGAAGGGTATGAGCCAAGAATTCGCTTTGCCAAAGCTAACAGTGGCACCTACTGGCTAAGTCACTTTCTTTCCCAGAGTATGGGGCGGGGGGGGGGGGCCTCTGGTTTGCCTATACAGCCATTTCAGCCATTAGTCAGGAAATATGTTTCTATTAGAGCTCATAAGGCGCTCTTCACTAGTATTGGGGCTTCTGAGCATCAGCCTTAAAAGGACCATCTGCTGGGAACTTATGGTTCATTATGGTCTGAATTGCGAGCTCTAAAAAGGAGTGAAGAATGTCTCTCTCGTCCTCCATGGCCAGGGGTAGAAGGTGCTGCCATTTCCCTAAGGGCAGAGGGTTATAAGTAGGCGACACAGCTTGACTCCGACTTCCGAGCGGGAAAGAGAACCCATTTGGAAAAACCATCAGACTGTGTAGAGGGAAATAAGCTTTCTCCGGGATACTGGGGACCACTCCGCCTGCCCGCTGTTCGCAGGGGAGAGTCAGGGGCAGTGCCTGGAGGGAATTTCATTATCATAGGTGGGGGTCAGGGCAGGCGGGGGTCAGGAGGAGGGTTTTATTGGTAACCCCCAGGCAAGCTGTGAATCACTTTGCAGGGCACTGGACAGTCCCCAAGACAACACAAGATCAGACCCAAGATGCCAATGGAGCAAATTATATATCGAATAAAGAATTCGCATCTAGAATAGAGAACTCTTACCACTTATAATAATTTTTATTTTAAAAAAGCCCTAAGACATGGGCAATGAATCCAAATAGACAATTCTCCCAAGATGATCTCTGAGGCCACAACCACACAAAAACATGCTCACTGTCCTTAGTCATCGGGAAAATGCTAGTCAAAACCATAGTAAGATGCCACCTCACACCCGAGAGGATGGTCAGAATGAAAAAGACAACAAGGAGGCTGGAACGATAGTAGAACGCAGGTAGGGCGTCCAACCTCCGTTCAATCCTGCACCCCTATGGCGCTCTGATCCTCGCCAGAAGCAACCTGTGAACACAGAGCCAGGACTGAGCCCTAAGCGCGGTCGGGAAAAGAAGGGAAGGAAGAAAGTAAACTAGGGAAAGAGAAAGGAAGAAAGGAAGGAAGGAAGGAAGGAAGGAAGGAAGGAAGGAAGGAAGGAAGGAAGGAGTGACGGAGGGAGGGAGGGAGGGAGGGGAAAAAAGGAAAAGAAAAGGAAGGAGGAAGGAAGGAAGGAAGGAAGGAAGGAAGGAAGGAAGGAAGGAAGGAAATGAACTAGGGAAAGAAAGAAAAAAGAAAGAGAGAGAAAGAAAAAGGGAAATAGGGAGGGAGGGAGAGAGGGGTGGAGGGAGGAAGGAAGGAAGGAAACAAAAGGAAAGAAAGAAAGAAAGAAAGAAAGAAAGAAAGAAAGAAAGAAAGAAAGAAAAAAACTAGGGGCTGAGAGACAGCACAGAGGTCAGGTGCTTGCCATGAATACAGCCAGTTCAATCCCCAGCTTCACCTAGGACAGCCAGGATTGATCCTTGAGCACCAAGCCAGAAGCACTCCCTATGTAGCCAGCACACGTGTTCCCCCAAAACCTAACTAATGATCAGAGTTACATCAGAACGAGAAAGTGGAAACCAGACACATGCCTAGGAAGCGATGAGTGAGCAGTGGGACAGACGGTGCCCAGATGCGGAAACACCACTTGGCGGCCCCGAGGGCCAGCAGTGGAGCATACGCGGCCACATCTGAGGCCCTGGGTTGGCTCCCTGGTGCCACAACAATGACTTTCACAGCTCCAAGTCACTGCGTGAAACATTCTCTACCGCATGAGAGAAGGGCTCAAAGAAACCCCCTGTCCCAGTGGGTTGGGTACACTCCAGGCAAGGCAGACAGAGGGACGGGGGTCCAGTGCTCTGCTGCCACCCAGTCCTTCTGGGATGCAGAGGGCACAGGATGCCCTGGACGATGCTTGGAGGCCCTCGGGGCAGAAGCTCAGAGCCTCACCCAGGCACTGCCCCTCCAAGCCACCACCCCCCCCCCCCCGCCCCACCGCCGGCCGCATCCTTGGACGAGCAAGCTGAGGAGCTGCCGAAAAGCCTGTTCGTGCTGATGGGAGACAGGACAGCCCGTTGATTTCTATTAGCGCTTAGGAACGGGTGTCACAGTCAATTGAACCCTTTCCTAAACATTAAGCCTGAAAACCGCGGCAGAGAGCAATCAGTTCAGGGCGATGTCTGTCTTCAGGGCACAGCCGACAAGATGGCCGTGGAGGACAGAGCAGGCTGATCGACGGTCACCAGGAGCCGCGGGATAACGAGCAAATCGAATCGTAGCTAATCGTAAATGTTCTGGCGTTTGTGGTGAAGAAAAATCATAAGAGTCCCTTATGTGTTTAGGCAGGAGACAGAAGCAAAACAGACCACTTACCACAGGACTGCGGGCATCTGGCTCAAATTCTGTGGAATTCGCATCTGGAAGAGAAAAATGCAAGTTCAATATTCCCCCACAGTGCTAAAAAGGCTGTAGGTTTGGGGCTGGAGCAATAGCACAGCGGGTAGGGCATTTGCCTTGCACGCGGGTGACCCAGGTTCGATTCCCAGCAACCCATATGCTACCCTGAGCACTGAGTGATTCCTGAGTGCAGAGCCAGGAGTATCCCCTGTGCATCAATGGGTGTGACCCAAAAAGCAATAAAATAAAATAAAAAAATTTTTTTAAAAAAGGCTATAGGTTTATACACACACACACACACATGCACACATACACACATACATAGAGAGAGAGACAGACAGAGAGACAGAGAGAGAGAGTGCTTAAGAGATACAACAGCAGGTGAGGTGCTTGCCTTGCATGCAGCCAACTCCAATTCGATCCCAGGCACCGACCATGGTCCCCAGAGCCCGCCAGGAGTGACCTCAGCTCAGAGTCAGGTGTAAGCCCGAAGCAAAGCAGAGTGGAGCCCAAACTCCCCGAACAGTTTAAAATAGATACACACACGTAGAGTCCCATGTGCACATATATACATACACACATATATAAATATGACAGTGCTTACCTTTGATGTCAAGGCAGTTTCTGGCAAACTCAATCACAGCTAGTTGCATCCCAAGGCAAATACCTGTTTTCACAAGAACATAAATGAAAACCAAATTAGCACAATAGCTATTGCTCGGTACCTTTTGTTCATTTGCTCCGCTATCTGGAAGACACTAGCGGCCCGTCGGGGCCCGCCGAACCTCTGTACTCAGAAGGATCCTGCAGCCGCAAGGGAGGGAGTTAGACCCCGAGCTGAGAGAGAAAAAATAACCATCAGGACAGGGCAGGAGCAACCAGGCTAATGAGAAAAGAAAGCCTCAGTTTCCCCTTGCCAACGAGAGGGGCGCCCAGTTTCCCCTCGCCAGCAGTTTCGTGTCTCCACACAGACTGACCATATCTCACCCTCAAGGCCCTATCTTGAACATTCCTGGTGTTCCCAGACCCCTTCCTTCTAGCCCAGAACAAGGAGTCGCAAGACTAAAATAATGGACAATACCCGAGGCAGGTGGCCAGACAGACAAACTGGCCTGTGGAGTCCCCGCATTCTCGGGAACACAAAGATCCGGTTTTCCTAAACAAACCTCACCAAAAAGCACCACAGTTAACTTCATCCTATCCTAAGTTCCTCCCGCTTGGGGAACTCCTTTTCTCTTCTCCTTTGCCATAAACTCTTCTACTTTCCAACTCTGAGTCTGCGCATCTTTTTTATTCCCTATTTTCATTCTTGAAAGTACAGAAGAACCTGGGAATCGCTACGAAACACAGAGACCCGCCGCCGCCTCTGACTCGCCTGCCGCCTGCGTCACTCACTCTAAAGGGCAAATAGGCCTCCCTGCAGTCAGGGTGCCTGGAAGAGGCAGACCAAGGCCTCTAAGATATGCCACTTTGCTGCGGGTTATTTCAGGCTGCAGTCAAGGTCCTGCAGGCATCAGAGAAACAATCGAGATTAAATGGGGGGAGGGGGTGTCCTCTAGTTCCTCTGTGTCATGCTAGACCAAATCCCAAAGGACAGAGGAAAATTCCCCACTTCTTCCCACACAGCCTGATTCCTTCAGCAGGGGCCTCCGAGGCATCTTCCTCCTTCTTCTTCGGGTAACTCCAGGGCCTCAAGTACAGACCGTGCCTGAGGGCTGCCTCGGGCTGGCCGCAGGCTGACTGAGGAGCAGGAAGCAGGGCCGGGGAGGGGAGAGCAAAGATGCGAATCTTGGGAGGTCCACACAAAGGGAGGACTCGAAGAAGACGAATAGACCACCCAGGCTCAATGCCTGCCATCCCGAATGGTCCCGGAAGCCTGCCAGGAGTGATTCCTGCACAGAGCCAGGAGTGAGGAACCTCTGAGCACTGCCAGGTGGGGCCCAAAACCAAAAAAGAAAGAGAGGAACAGATTCATAGTCCGAGACCTGGAGTGACAGGTGCCACGGCTCTAGGAAGGCCGTCACTAAGCCCCAGTCACAGAGCGCTCTGGATACTGCCGGCCGTGCAGGGGTCTGCAAGGAGCCCAAGGGAGCTCAGAGCCATTCGCTCCAGCAGCTGAGCAGAAGGGGGCCCTGCAGAGAGAGGGGGCTCAGACACCCAGAGCCACGGCACTGAGGATGCAGTGAGACTGAGGGAAAACAGTCAGAAACCCGCTAACTGCTGTGTAGATGCCCGGCAGGGCTCTTTAAACAGAGACCAGCGGAGACCAAACAGGGTGTGCGAGCGACACCCCCTGGCTGCTCTGGGCACAAATGGACCCCAGGAGAAGCGCATGGACAAGCTGAGGGTGAGAAGAACCCTGGAAGGTCAGCTGGTCCCGAGCCCCACTCCACGCTCCCGGGCCAGAAGGCCGTTTCCTCGGCCCTTATGGGTCCTCAAGCTGCACTTCCGCCCCAATGCAATCTGAACAAAAGCATTCCAAAGATGCTGCTCTGCACAGCGTCGCCAGTACATGGCCTGCAATGTCTCAGTGACATCCTCTCTTGGGTGAGCTTGGCTGAGCGTAGTGAGTTCAAAACAGCACAGAGGCCCGCGAGCTCAGCAACCCACTCATCTGCCATGCTAGACAACCAAGGTGTCATGGGGTATGTGTGTGGCGGGCAGTGGGGGAGGGGCACAGGTCTCTGCCCTATAATGGCACCACAAAAGCAGCCCGTGAAAAATCGCGAGAAAACGGCTGCAGCTGCACTCCAATGGAACGGCCTGGCAGGAGCCAGCCGGGCCCCCGCCAACGCCCACTGAGGCCCGCGGCAGATCCTGCAAGGCCTCCAACGCCTAATACGCACGAGTTCCGACCCATAAATAGAAAGTTTACCGAGAAAAGGAATCTTCTTTGTTCTTGCCCAAGCAATGGCCTGGAGTTTTCCCAGCGTGCCTCTGATGCCGAAGCCTCCTGGCACGAGGATACCACTGCAAAAGCAACACCAGACAACAGGTGGTCACGGCAGAAACGCGGTGAGTGAAAAACAATTCTGTTTTCCAAGTTATGGGGGTCTGCGCTTCAAGCGGCCAGGGGAGTCTGGCAGGTGCGAGGTCCTGGCGTCAATTCCCAGCACGACATGTACCCCACCCCACCCCCACCCCCCCAAAGACCCACAGTGTGTGGCCTCTATCTTTTTCTCACATTTTTGTGTTTTGCTTTGGAGGATCCCTGGCAGTGCTCAGGGCTACTCTTGGCACTAAAGGGTCACTCCTGGCCGCTCGGGGAACCGTATGGAATTGAACAGGAATTGAACCCAGGTCAGCTGCCTGCAAGGCATGTACTTTGCTCCTGCCTCTGTGTGGGCTCTACTTAAAGAAAGGGGGGGAAAAGCTAGCAGAACTAGAATTTGATTTAAGGTTCTTTTAAGAGCACTAAAATTGGTGCCGGAGCATTAATAGTCCAACGGGTAGGGCACTTGCCTGACACACGACTGACCCAGGTTTGATCCCCAGCATCCCATATGGTCCCCCAAGCACTGCCAGGACTAATTCTGAGTGCAGAGCCAGGAGGAACCCTTGAGCATCACTGCATGTGGCCCAGAAAAACAATACTAATTAATTAAAATAAATAAATACCAAGATCTTTTCCATCACCGGAAAGAGTTCATCTGGCCAAATTAGCCCACCTAAGCAGGTGAGGTGGGGGCAGCATGCAAGTGTCCCGGCTGGAGACTCCTGTCAGCATGGCGAGAGCATGTGCCCAGGGCCCGAGAGGGCACTCAGACAGCTGGAGTGTTGCCCTGAATGGGGGGACCCGGTCCTCCACATGGTTCCCCCAGGACTACCGCTGGGAAGGGATCCCATAGACCAATAAACAGGTGGGGCAAGACAGTCGGAAAGGAGAACAGGGTGTGGTAAGACCCTCACAATGCAATGTGGCCCCCAAAATTTCTCTGCTTTCCTTCCAAAAGGAAACCTAGAATCAAAGGCCATGGAAAAAATATATATACACATAGGCAAAGAGTTGCCATTCTTTGGTTTGTTTGGGGTCACACCCAGTGGTGCTTAGGGGCTGCTCCTGGCTCTGCACTCAGGAATTATTCCTGCAGGTATTCAGGGGACCGTGGGGGATACCCGGGAGAGAACCCAGGTTGGCCCCTTGCAAGGCAACACCCTACCCGCTGTGCTATGCCGCCAGCCCGCAGAACTGTTATTCCTGGATTTACCTTTGTCCGAAGATGATGCATCCAGCGCTTCTTTCCATTGAATAAACACTGTCTCTCCAAGGCAGCCTCCCTCTCCACCCCCCCCCCAAGTCAAAGCATCTTCTTTTTTCAGAGGAAATACAGAATGATCTGGGCCCCACCGCCAGTTCCCAGACTACCTTTCTCAAAGCACAAGATTGGAAATTGGGGTGAGTCGGCTTCTGATGGAAAAAGCAGGGAGGCGTCCTCCTATCTGGCACAGGCAGATGCCCCCCACCCCCGACCCAGTACTCACTCAGCTCTGCAGAGCTTCTGCCAGGCCTCATGGAACTTGACAGGGTCCTGGTTTTCCGTGCTGTGCTCCAGGTCAATGGAGTCGATATACTGAGAAAATAGCCAAGAGATGAGAGCAGCATTAGAGACAGAGCCTGGGTCACGCAAGCTTTGGAATTCACTCACCAGTTACACAAAGGCCACCAGAGCCCTGGGAGAAGAGCGTGACCTCTGTCTCGGGGCCAGGAGACCCCATCAATGGCAATGACTGGTGCCGAAGGGACTGGGAGCATAACCCACTCTGGACCTGCACACTTCGGGGAGGAAAAGGAAAGGAATCACATCTCGGCAGGAGGAGCACAGAGGACACATCTAGGACACTGAGGCTGCCAGGGCGAGCTCTGGCGAGATAAGCCTGTAACAGCTTATACGAAAGCTCTGAGGAAGGAAGTGGGGGCCACTGTGGGAACCTCAAAAGAAACTGCCCCCACAAGAGAAGTTCCGAACACGGGGAATCACTGAAAGGGTCTCAGGAACAAAGAGTGAGCTGAGAAAGAGCACTCTGTGGGACGCTGTGGCAAGTAGACATCAGCTAGATGGGCAGAGCACACAACTAGGCATAGGCGAGGCCCTGGGTTCGATGCCTAGCGCCACATGGTCTCCCAAGCACTGCCAGGAGTAAACCCCTGAGCACCAAAAAGTGAAAAGATAATGAAGATGATGGGCTGGAGCAATAGTACAGCAGGGAGGGCATTTGCCTTGCACTTGGCCGACCTGGGTTCGATCCCCAGCATCCCATATGGTCCCCCGAGCACCACCAGAAGCAATTCCTGAGTGCAGAGCCAGGAGTAACCCCTGAGCACAGCTGGGTGTGACCCCTTCAAAAAATAAAATGAAGAAAAAAATCACTTGGGAGATTGTGCAGAAGGCCGGGGGGGGGGGGGGGGTGGGCAACGTAACACAACCAGAGACTGGACCTAAAAAAAAGTACAACGCAACCAGGACTCAAATTGGACCTGGTAAGAACTGAAGCCAACAAATTCTATTCAGCGAAACAATCGTGCAACAATCCCTACGTCCCTGCAGAGCTGTATTATTTCAGTATTTAATCTTTCATAACACAGAATGTATTTCTGGATGAATCATCACATGCAAAATTTTTATGGCTTCATAAAATGTGCATTACAGCATGTTTCCTACTTCCATTTTTTCTGTGAGGGACAGAAGACTTGGAAGAGGAGGAAACACAGCAAGTAAAAAAATCCTTGGAGAGGGGCTGGGGAGAGAGTCCAGCAAGTAGGGTGCTCGCCATGCATGTGGCTGACCGGGTTCAAGCCCCACCATCCCCAAGCCCTGCCAGGAGAAACCCCTGAGTATAGCTGGGTGTGCCCCCAAACAAACAGAAACTAAATAAACATAAATATTTCTTCAAGAGAGAACCAAAACAAATAGTTAGGAAAGGAGATCATGAAAAAGTGAAAGAGCAAGTAGCCAGGGTCCGAGCTGGGGTCTCGGTCAAGCTAGGTGATGTCTGAAACATATCCATGTCATCTCTGTTCATTTATGTAAAGGTTTTACCATTTGAATCGAGAGCATCAGGCTGCTTTAAATCATGACATATCCAAATAGAATATCATCAGAAATGTTTACAGGCAGAAAAGTCCAGAAATCGAGCATCAAACTGGGAATGACAGGTAGAGGAGAAGTGGAACGGTAGAGAATTGGAATTGACCCAGATTCGATCCCAAGCACCACGTATGGTCCCCTAAGTCCCACCCGGAGTGTTCCCTGGGCACAGAGCCAGGAGCACCGCCAGCTCTGGGCAGTACCAGGTATGGCCCCCAAACCAAAAATGTATTAACTAATTAAAAACGAAAACCTAGATTCAATTTCCATGTAGAAGGGGGCGGGGGGGGGGGTGTTCTTGTTAGGTAAATACAATGCACTTAAATAAGCAGGAAGTATGGAATTCTCCCTGCCTTCTGAAATTGTGCCTTCAAGCTGTAGACACACAGAAGTTAAAAGAGCAGGCTTACGTGATGTCCTTGGGTGGGGAGTGGTCTTGGGGAGGGTCCCCGCCACTTTTCCCAGGGCAGGCAAGTGTGGTTTGCAGTGCTGAAAGGGAGGCCCAACGGGATTCCCACGGAGTGCCCACCCTCTCCTTGCACCCCTGATCTTCTGGTCAAAGCCCTGGGTCCGCGTCTCTCAAATGCGCTGCCGTGGGATGTCCCAGCTCACTGTGGGAGAATGAAGCTGGGAGGTGACGAGACACGGAGCTGGGACTCCGTCAGGAAGACGTTCCTGCCAGCTTGTGCCTGCGAGCAGGTTCCCTGTGCTCACTGGGCCCTGACCCCCCTCCCTGGCACCAAGCGCAGCCTGGCTGTCAGTCCGCAGGTGGCTCTGACGACATGCCACACCACCTGCCTCCCAGACACTCAAGGGGGGTGGGGGGGCGCAACTGCCGTGTATGGATGAGCATGCCGGGACTCACCACCAGGTTCAGCTTGTGGTTAATGGCCAAAGCCGAGTGCTCCAGCGCTTTGAACACGGACGTGTAGCAGTCCCGTAGTTTGGTGTATTTGCCCACCAGGGCTATGTTGCAAGATTTCTGCAGCTTCTCATACCTGGGAAGGAAGACAAGCCCAAAGGTTATATGCAGGGAACAAAATCCAAGTGCGGCAGCCCCCACTAGACTTCCAAGGAGCTTGGAATTTGAGGGTCTTCTCTCAAATCCTCACCCTGTCCCCAGAGAAAGCAAATCGATGCCAACGGTTTTTGAAATCCGAGAAGTCCCGGTTTGCTTCCGTAATAAAGCAGAGCCATAAATCGGTGGAAATTGTATCAGAGAAAAAGATGGGTATTGAGAAGGAAAGAGGGGAAAAAGCTGTCTCCAGCTCATAAACATGAGGTGCCCTGCAAGGCATTTGTAAGTAACACTGGGGAAGAAACAGCCTTCTGAATGTCAACAGGAGACAGGCGGCAGGAGCTGCAAGGTGACATTACATAAGAAAATGCATCCCAAGTGTCTCCATAAAAAAACTGTTATGCTCCCAGCGGGCCCACAAAAGGGGTTTCTTCATGGCATGCCTAACGACGTCTGTGAGAAGAACACTTTTTTTTTCCTTTTGGGTCACACCTAGTGATGCACAGGGATTACTCCTGGCTCTGCACTCAGGAATTACTCCTGGCAGTGCTCAGGGGACCACATGGGATGCTGGGAATTGAACCCGGGTCAGCTTGTGTGCAAGGCAAACACCCTACCCGCTGTACAATGGCTCCAGCCCCTTCTCTTTTCTTTCTTTTCTTTCTTTTTTTTTTTCTTTTTGGGTCATGCCCGGCGATGCACAGGGGTTACTTACTCCTGGCTTTGCACTCAGGAATTACTCCTGGCGGTGCTCAGGGGACCATATGGGATGCTGGGAATTGAACCTGGGTCAGCCATGTGCAAGGCAAATGCCCTACCCACTGTGCTATCGCTCCAGCCCAGAAAAGAACACTTTCAAACATTAGCAGTTGCTTTGATCATTTTTTTTCAGAGTCCCATTCTCCCGAAGATGCCCAATCACGTCTCACCACGAGAGACAAGGCTTTGCCACTGCTCTGACCAGGACATCGGTTCGATGATTAGGAGAAACAGTTCGATGACTCGGAGAAACGCCTGCTTAGGTGCTACCCAGGCGGCCTGTCCAATCTTGGTGCTGATGAGGTTCCGGGGCTCTGAGCACACCCTTCCCCAATCACCCTAGCACCAAAGCATGACCGTGTCGAGGAATATTCCTCGGGCCTCTCAGATTCTGCCAAGAGTGCAAGAGCCAGGTGACAGCACGGGCTGGGACGCAGTGCCGACTGGCAGCCCAGGAGGCAACTGAAGGACCAGCCTCTTCTGCAGAAAGCTCACAGAGGGCTAAGCAGGGGTTCCAGGCCCATGTTAGACATCAGCGTTTCCTGCCCTAATGGAGGACCCAGAGAACCATCCACCACAGCCGTGAACACAGCGGGCGAGCCCACTGACAGAGGGCCACAGGGGCAGGAGGGAGTCCCCACGCGTGCAGACAGACACTGAGGCATTCCTGCAGGGCACTCACCCCCGCCCACGCCTCCCTCCTGCTCTCCACTCGGCATCCACCGCGGAGGGATGCAGGCAGCAGACAGAGTCAGGAGCAACTTGTAGAGTGGTCCCCGAAGCAGCAGGGTGGTCCCTCCAGCAGCCTGAGTCCTCCCAGACGAGTGCTCCCACTCCCACGTGGAAGCCAGGCTGAGAGCAGCAGCAGACTGCCTGACCGAGGCTGCCCGCACACCTTGGGTTCCTCCAGACCCAGCTGGGGAGCATCACCCAGCCGCGGCCCGGGACTCCCGAGTCAAACTCCCTGCCGCCATCTCCGCTGGCCCAACACCACAGCCAGCATCTGTCAGGGGGCTGACACGCAGCAGCCCCTTCGCTGAAACTTGAAGTGAGCCAAAAGTCCAAGGCACACGTGACGGAATCTAGACAAAAGGGTCGCTGTGGATCCAATGAAAGGCAGACCCTAGACACAAGATCCAGGGCTAGAGCGAGCGTACAGTGAGGAGGGCGTTTGCCTTGAATGGGAGGGGCTTGATCCCTGGCATCCCATTTGGTCCCCTGGGCACCGCCAGGAGTCATTCCTGAGTGCAGAGCCAGGAGTCGCCCCTGAGCATCGCCGGGTGTGACCCAAAAAGCAAAAAGAGAGAGAGAGAGAGAGAGAGAGAGAGAGAGAGAGAGAGAGAGAGAGAGATGAGGGCTGGAGTGATAGTACAGCAGGTAGGGCATTTGCCTTGCACGCAACAGACCCGGGTTTGACTCCCAGCATCCCATATGGTCCCCTGAGTACCGCCAGGAGTAATTTCTGAGTGCAAAGCCAGAAGTAACCTCTGAACATCGCTACGTGTGACCCAACAAGCAACAAAGAAAAAAGAAATAAAGGAAAAAAAGAGACATGAGGGCTGGAGTGATAGCACAGCGAGTAGGGCATTTGCCTTGCTCGTGGCCAACCCGGGTTCAATTCCCAGCATCCCATGTGATCCCCTGAGTAACACCAGGAGTAATTTCTGAGTACAAAGCCAGGAGTAACCCCTGAGCATCACTGAGTGTGACCAAAAAGCAAAAGAGAGAGAGAGAGAGAGAGAGAGAGAGAGAGAGAGAGAGAGAGAGAGAGAGAGGAGGAGGATCATCCTGGATCATAGACAACTACCCTTGAGGACAAGCAGGACAGAGACGCTCGTGGATTTCAGACTTCTCAATATCCTAAGAGAAAAACAGTTCCTGCTGTTTGGCTTTGGGGAACCACCCCCAGTCTGCGACCAGACGATGATGGGGATCAAGCCCAAGGCTCCCCTGCAGCCCCCAGCTCTTTCCGTGAGTACAGGTGACGGCAATGCTTACATAGGGTCGGTGCAGTGGTTATAAGATCAGACTCTGGCACCAGGCCGTGTGGATTCAGAGCCCAGCCCCGCTCCCTCTCGCTGTGTGAGTTTGGGCAGATTACTCTACCTCTCGGGTCTGGTTCTCCTGTCTGTATAGCAGAGGAAGAGAAGTGCCTCTGTTGTGGCAACCGTGAGATTAAACCCATAAGGGCGAAGTACACTCTCGGGCAGTAAAATATTGGTTACAAATATTGGTGGCAGTCATGAAAACGACTGGCTAGTGAGTAAAATCACTGGCTTCCGCGCACTGAAGTTCGTTTACCCTCTCATTAAAAACTTGATGAGTGTTTTAGAATTTCCAGGGCAAGCAGAATCAGGAATAAAGTGCCGTTTCTGAAGTTAGGTACTCAAAAACGTCTTATGTAAGGATTTATTGTCTAAAACTCCCTTCGTAGGAGTTTTCAGCTTGGGGCCGATCCTCTTTAAGCATGAAGAGTTTTAAGACTTTGCTCATTTTATTAGCTCTAAATCATCCCCCCCTCCGTGTCTCTGAGCTGTGCAAAGCCTGTGTTTGGTCTTTGGATTCATTTCCTGTGGCTGCTGGGACAAGTGTCGCCAGCTGTGGCTGAAAACACAGTGGAATCTGGGTGGCTACTCCAATGGCTGGGAAGGGAGGGCACTGCATCTAACTTCAAGTGAGACCAACCTTGCTGATGTTACTCTGTCTTTTTTTTCCTTTTTGGGTCACACCCAACGATGCCTCTCGGAGAGCCTGGCAAGCTACCGAGAGTATCTCGCCCGCATGGCAAAGCCTGGCAAGCTAACCATGACGTATTCAATATGCCAAACACAGTAACAACAAGTCTCACGATGGAGACGTTACTGGGCCCGCTTGAGCAAATCGATGAACAACGGGAGGACAGTGCTACAGTGCTACCCAATGATGCACAGGGGTTATTCCTGGCTCTGCACTCAGGAATTACTCCTGGTAGTGCTCGGGAGACCATATTGGATGCTGGGAATCGATTTTATATCTCTCATTTACTCTCTGTATTCTATTGGATTTACCTGGTTTTTCTCTCCCCTCTTTCCTTAACTTCTTTTTCATTATGAAATGTTTGCTACTTTTCCCTTTCCCTTGATATTTTACCTTTTTTTTTTTGCTTTTGGGGTCATACCTGATGATACTCAGGGGTTACTCCTGGCTCTGCATTCAGGAATTACTCCTGGTGGAACTCAGGGGACCATATGGGATGCCGGGGATCGAACCCGGGTTGGCCCACTGTGCTATTCCTCCAGCCCCATATTCTGTTTTAAACTCACACCTCTCAGGTTGTAATTTTGGTTTTGATTTCTGGGTCATACCCAGAGATGTTCAGGGATTACTTCTGCTGTCTGAGCTCAGGGATCACTCCCGGCGGTGCTTGGGGACCATATGGGGTGCCAGGAATCAAACCCTGCTTGGCCGTGTATAAAGCCAGCATTATTGTGCTGGCCATCAAAGTTTTAATAATAATATTGACGCTGAGAGCAAAATGGAACCATAATTACCCTGCCAAAATTGACCATTAAGAAGAATTTTCTTTAGAATAAGTTGGCCAAATCTTTAAGACAAGCAAAGCAGGAAAGGACAAGGAGAGATAGTATGGGAGGTTAAGTGCTTGCCTTGCTTGCCACTAACCCAGGTTCAATCCCCAGCACTGCCGGAGCACTCCTGAGCACAGAACCAGGAACAGCCTCTGAGCACCTTCAGGTGTGGCTCAAACATCACCCCCCACCTTTCGCCCCCCTCCCCAAAAAGAAAGGCAAATCAGAGGTCAAATCAAACCACAGTGATATATAAAGCTTTTTAAAATATTTAGAAACTAAGAAATAAGCCATCAAATATTCCAGAATTTTTAAAAAATGTAATCATACCAAAATCCTGCAATTCACGTTAAGCAGAGCAAGCTCAAAGGCCTTAGAAAACTTCAAACACTGCAAAGCACTCTAACAACGTACGACATCAAACCAAAACATGCACACACCGAAAGTCAATGCGCTAAAGATATCTCGGGTACTTTCCTTTCTGTCCCCAAACCCAAGAGGTATTGGAGGTTAGAGTAGCAATTCCTCTCACGTACCTGTCAGCCATATTTCTCCACTTGAAGAGCAGATTACTCGAAGAATCACCAATGGGCAGATTCAATCTCTGCCGAAGATAGCTAATAAGGCCTTGCTCCTCCAAAAGCACGGGTACTCGATACGTGGAAGTCAGGTCATGGATGCATATCACCTAAGACACGCAGAGGAAATGCCATGATTAAAGGGAAGGACTCAAAGGAAGTCCAGAAGGAAGCTCCAGCAAAGAGCCAGACGGCATCTAGACTAAGAGGAAAACCAAGAAGTCACTTCTGACCCCAACGATTGAGGACTGCGAGCGCCTGGTTGCATCTCCTTCCAACAGCTGGAATTCCTGGAGCCTTGAGTGCTGGGGCAGAACCCTACGTATCTCCTTGGTTCCTGCTTCTGAGCTTCAAACACCTTTGGGATGTCCTGGGCTACAGGGGTGTCTTCGTTATGTTAATGAGGGTATGGCGTGGGGGGGCCACTTGATCAATTTCTCAACCTTTTTCCCACCATGACCTTCCAACCAACCTTTCCTGGGGCCTCCCTGTCCTCCCAGTTGCCCCCCTAATCCTGGGCCATGGTCCCCCATTTACATGGTTTTGACCTGCAGTCCCCTTGGAATATCCTGGGGACTTGCAGATAGGCACTTGCAGACAGATGCAAACGAGAAAGGCTGCAATAGACCCCAGCTGGCCACCCGGGAAACCAACCCCGTCCCCTAGAAACCTGATACCTCCAAAAAGACCAGAGAGGGGGTGTGGGGGCGTGACTCATGCCTATGAAACCCCAACACAAACTCTGGGAACCCACACAGGGGAAGCATCCTGATTGACGAATGCAGGAATGTACCCGATGGCACCAGCACCCTTCTAGACTGTGCCCCGCTGTGTATCTCTCCATCTGGCTGTTCGCTTTCACCCATAGCCTGACACAGTAATCATCCATCTCACACTTTCTGTAGTTCGGTGAGTTGTTCTAGAGACTTTTCCAACCTGAGGCAGGTATTTGAGTGCCCAATGTGCAGTGAGTCAGGCAGAAGTGGGGGTGGTGAGGGCTGGAGCGATAGCACAGCGGGGAGGGCATTTGCCTTGCACGCGGCTGACCTGGGTTCGATGCCCAGCATCCCATATGGTCCCCCGAGCACTGCCAGGAATAATTCCTGAGTGCAGAGCCAGGAGTAACCCCTGTGCATCGCTGGGTGTGATGCAAAAAACAAAAAGAAAGAAAGAAAGAAGAGAGAGAAAGAAAAAAGAAAGAAAGAAAGAAAGAAAGAAAGAAAGAAAGAAAGGAGAGAGAAAGAAAGAAAGAAAGAAAGAAGAGAGAGAAAGAAAGAAAGAAAGAAAGAAAGAAAAAAGAAAGAAAGAAAGGAGAGAGAAAGAAAGAAGAGAGAAAGAAAGAAAAGAGAAAGAAAGAAAAAAAGAAATAAAGAAATAAAGAAGAGAGAGAAAGAAAGAAAGAGAGAGAGAAAGAAAGAAAAAGAGAAAGAAAGAAAGAAAGAAGAGAGAGAAAGAAAGAAAGAAAGAAAGAAAGAAAGAAAGAAAGAAAGGAGAGAAAGAAAAGAGAGAGAAAGAAAGAAAAAAAGAAATAAAGAAATAAAGAAGAGAGAGAAAGAGAGAGAGAAAGAAAGAAAGAAGAGAGAGAAAGAAAGAAAGAAGAGAGAGAAAGAAAGAAGGAAGAAGAGAGAGAAAGAAAGAAGAAAGAGAGAAAGAAAGAAAGAAAGAAAGAAAGAAAGAAGGAAGGAAGTGGGGGTGGTCCCCACCCCACCATCCTACGGCGTCTGGTGCTAACTGCGTGGTTATGGCAGAGCTAAGTTCCTGTTATCACAGAAGGGGAGAAGGTGCTAAGACACGGGCCCAAAGCCCCATCTGGGCAGAGCAGGTTAAGATGGAAGCGCCGACTAGGAGTGGGCCTTGTTCCCTGTGTCCTCAGTATGCGTCGGGGGGGGGGGGGGCGTTGCTGGTTCGCATGTTCTTGCGGCCGTAGCTGCTGCCTTCATCTGGGCGTCTAAGCATGGCAGCGGGGATGTTCACATGCCCTCTCGCAGACTGAGGCGCTTTCTTAAGACCAGCCCAGGAGCTACTGGCAGACCATACAGGCTCTCCCACACCCGAAACCCATGCCAAGGAGCCTCCTGCCAACTCTCTGTGTTGGCTCTTCCCAATGCGGAGCTTCCGGAGTGAGCTTCCTCAGTTGGCGGGGCCACGGATGGGGTGCGGGGGTACAGCGCTAAGATGCCACTGACAAGAGCTTCCGTCCAAAGTCAACCTCCGGGCATCGAAACTGCCAGGGGCGGCACGTGGGGCGACTGACTTGGGGACCCGTCGGGCCAGCGAGACCTTCAGCTCAGGGACCTCCGCACACGCTCTGTGGGCGCGGGCGGGAAACACAAGGATGCTCTCCAGAGCACTGCCAGGACGCAGCCCAGCAATGAGAAGAAGGCTGCTAGGAGCCGGGAGAAACAGTACAGTGAGTGATGCGCTTGCCTTGTATGTAGCTGACCTGGCTTCAACCCTCAGCACCGCTGATGGAGCCACAGGGAGCACTGGGCACAACCCCCAAGCGCAGAGCCAGGAGGAAGTCCTGAGTACCACTGCATGTGGCCCCCTCAAAAAAAAAAAAAGCAGGGGCTGGAATGATAGCAAAGCGGGTAGGGCGTTTGCCTTGCACGTGGCCCGACCCAGGTTTGATTCCCAGCGTCCCATATGTCCCCCAAGCACGGCCAGGAGTAATTCCTGAGTGCATGAACCAGGAGTAACCCCTGTGCATCGCTGGGTGTGACCCAAAAAGCAAAAAAAAAAAAAAAGCAGATGACTGGTTAAAAAAATTTTGGTACATCTACACAATGGAATACTATGCAGCTGTCAGGAGAGATGAAGTCATGAACTTTGCTTATAAATGGATAAACATGAAGAGTATCATGCTAAGTGAACTGAGTCAGAAAGATAGGGACAGACACAGAAGGACTGCACACATTTGTGGAGGATAAAACAACATAACATGAGGCTGACACCTAAGGACAGTAGATACATGGGACAGATAGACTATTCCATAGCTGGAAGCCTGCCTCATGAGCAAAGGGGCGAAGGCAGCTAGAATAGAGAAGGGATCACTAAGAAAATGATGACTTGAGGAACCGGTCGCGATGGGAGATGTGTGCAGAAAGTGGATAAAGGACCAAACATGATGACCTCTCGGGGTCTGTATTGCAAACCACAATGCCCAAAAGTAGAGAGAGATTATGGGGAATCATGTCTGCCATGGAGGCAGGGGGAGGGTGGGAAAGGGGGGGTATACCGGGGTCACTGGTGGAGGGATGGGTGTTTGATCATTGTGTGATTGTAACCCAAACGTGAAAGCTTATAACTATCTCATGGTGATTCAATAAAAAAAAAAAATGTCCCACTAGGGATGACATGGCTCATGTCAGGTCATCCCCACCCCCACCAACATCCTTTTCTCAGGGCCAGAGAGCCTTGCTTGGGGTGAGTGCTCCCAAAGCTTTTCCAAAGGCCACAGCAGGTATCCCTGAGCTGGGAAATGTGGCCTCCTCCACAGTGGCTGGATGACCGTGGCATCGGCAGGGCAGACTCACCTGCTCAGGGTCCACGTGGCAGAACATGGAGATCTTCTCCTTCACGGCCATTTCGATGGGTGTCGAACTGCGGCAGACGATCTGGGGAAGGTGAGTGACACATCAGCAAGGCGGCAGGTGCCAGTGACAGGGTCCGAGTCTTGAGCCCGGCCCTGACCCTTCCTGCCTCCGGCTCGTTGGCAACTGCTCTCGCCACTGATGTCGGAAAGTGCGACCCAACTGAGCACGGACCTGCCGGGCCAAGAAACGGGGCCTCTTCCAAACTAGAGGAGCTGTGCCCCCGGACGGTCTGGGTGCCACTTCTCTGCACCGTCGCCACGCAAAGGCAGCTGCTGACAATGTAAGAGCGGTGGTTCCAGGTACTGATGAGCGTGGCCATGCACCGATGTGCTGACCCCGACAGGCTGACCGTGGCAGTGGCAGGAGGGCCTCGGGGAAATAGCCACAGACCCAGGGCTCAGCCAGAGGTCAGGGGAGGGCCAGGGGAACAGGCCGCCCCACCAGGAGCATGACTTCCTGGGGCGAGCAGTGTGGGACGCCAGCACCACTGATGCGAATGGAAAATGCAGTCCTGGGCCCAAGAGATACAGCACTGACTGGCTGGCTGGGCTGCACACGCCTGAGCCCAGTCCCAGGGTCCCACGAGTACTGCTGGGAATGACCCCAAGCACAGAAACATAGAGCTGAGGCAGGCCAGTAGAAAGGAGAGGGCCTTTCCTGGGGAACATAAAGTAACAAAATAGGAGACTAACAACCAAGAATAGCCGAGATAAGTACCAGGAGGTTTACTCCATGGCTTGGAGGCCAGCTGCACACGCTAGTGGAAAAGGCAGCTCAGATAGAGAAGGGAGCACCAAATAAAGGGTGTTGGGAGGATCCTCCCAAGATGGGAGAAGCATGCTGAAAGTAGACTATAGACCAAACATGATTGCCATTCAATGCCTCTTTCGCAAACCACAACACCCAAAAGGGGAGATAGAACAAAAGGGAATGCCCTGCCACAGAGGCAGGGTGGGATGGGGGGATGAGGGAGTGAGAGGGATACTGGGATCATTGGTGGTGGAGAATGGACCAGAGTAGAGTGATGGGTACTCGATCATTGTATAATTGAAACTCAAGCACAAAAACTTGTAAGTCTACAACTGTACCTCATGGTGTTTCGCTAATAAAAATTTAGAAAGAAAGGAAGGAAGGAAGGAAGGAAGGAAGGAAGGAAGGAAGGAAGGAGAAAGCCCAAGGGCCTGTAGCAACGGGATTTCTGAGAAGAAATCCAATAACAATGAAGCTGCCAGAATTAAGTCCTAGTCCTGATAAGATCTTCCCGTTGCCAGTGACAGACCCTGTGGAGGCTGGACCCCACAGAGACACAAACTGCAGCAGAGAGAGAGACTGCAATTAAGGACCTGAAGGAGATATAGGACACCCGAACGACCCCCATCTCTGCCAGAGAAACTCCAGACCAAGGTAGCCCCCTTGGCAACCGCCCTAGCAACGGACTCTTACCTAGCTAGAAAGCCCCACCTGGTGGCAGATTGGAGAACCCCATAAAAGCCCCCTTGAACACAAGAAGAATGCGCATATGCTGCCCAAGGCCCAAGGCTGCTTGTGCCCACCTGGTCGTTTGTCGCCTGCATCTCCCCTCTTGAGATGTGGACTGGGGCTCTCCATGCCTTTAGAGAAGTTCGCCTTTTCCCTGGAGCGTGTTTCTCTCTCGCTTTCTCTCCCTCCTTCCCCTTCCTAAAAAACCCTCCAAATAAAATCTACTCATATTCTCTCCTGCGAGGAAGACAAGTGCCTCTAAACCTTGGGCCTCCGTGGGGGCCCACCGACTCCAGAGGCTGGGTGTGGCCGACCCCCCCCCAGACACGGTCAAAGAACAAGAGCCAGGGACACTGTGCAGGAGGTAAGGCGCTTGCCTTGCAAGCGGGCACATCAGCTGTGACCCAGGTTCAAGTCTCTGCCACCACATATGGTCCCCTGAGCACCTCCACAGGCCTATCCGGAGCACAGAGGAAGGGAAGGAGGGAGGGAGGGAGGGAGGGAGGGAGGGAGGGAGGGAGGGAGCGAGGGAGAAAGGCAGAAAGGGAGGGAGGGAGGGAGGGAGGGAGGAAGGAAGGAAGGAAGGAAGGAAGGAAGGAAGGAAGGAAGGAAGAGAAGGAAGGAAGGAAGAGAAGGAAGAAAAGAAGGAAGAAAAGAAGGAAGGAGGGAGGGAGGGAAGGAGGGAAGGAAGAAAGAAGAAGGGAGAAAGAGGGAGAGGGAGGAGGGAGGAAGAGAGGGAGGGAGGGAGGAAAGAAGGAATGAAGGGAGAAAGGGAGGGAGGGAGGGAGGGAGGGAGGGAGGGAGGGAGGGAGGGAAGGAGGCAGGAGGGCAGGCCGGCCTCCAGAGTGACAGTCTAGCAGGCAGGGCACTTGTCTCACACGTGGCCAAACTGGTTTTGATCCCCAGAACTTTTCCTTGTCCCTGAGCCCATCAGGAGTGAGCCTGAGCACAGAGCCAGGCGTAAGCCCTGAGCACCCACCAGGTGTGGCGCCCCGCTCCCCCACCAAAGAAAGGAAAAAAAAGAAAAGAAAAAAAGAGGAGAGGGGATGAAAGGGAGGAGAGGGGAGGAAAGGAAGGCAGAGCCTGGAGCCAGACCCTCACCGTGTCCCGAACTCACCAGGTCGGGGGACAGGCCGAGGCCCCTCAGCGCGCGCACGCTGTTTTGTGTGGGTTTGGTTTTCTGTTCTCCAGTAGCAGTAAGCTGGAAAGAAACGGGTCACGTGGTGCATCAGCACACCAGCCAGGCCGTGCTTCTGAGAGGCTCCCCTTCCGAACCCCACCTCCCCCGAGAAGCCCACCTGCAGAACCCCTTCCGAATCTCACCTCCCCCGAGAAGCCCACCTGCGGAACCAGGCTGACGTGGATGCTGCAGAAGTTCTCCCGTTTGGCCTTGAACTGGAACTGCCGGAACGCCTCCACGAATGGCATGCCTTCGATGTCGCCGATGGTGCCACCCAGCTGGCAGGGGACAGAAAGACATGGGGTTGGCCCAGGGCTCGCACATCAGCAGAAACTCCACCCGAGGGAACGCGAGACCATTCACGCGACGCCTGTGATAGCAGGTGCATCTGGTGGCACCGCCAAAGGGGAGAAGGCACAGGAAGGACAAGAGGCAGAAGAAACCCCAGCGGGTGAGCGGCCGGTGGCAGGTCCCGGAGGGAAGAGAGAACAGGGTCAAGAGCGCTTCCAGAATGATCTTCCGAGCTGTGGCGAGATGGGTGAAGGGAAGCGAACGCATCAGGTGTGACAAATCCCAGCAGCCTGACCGATTCCCTTGGAGCCGACGGGACGGGAAAGTGCCACCTGCACGCCATGTGGCAGGAGGGCGGGGCCCTGTGAGGCTAGCTGCCTTCCGTTCCACCCAAACTCATGCTCTCATGGTTTTTATTCGTTTGTTTGTTTTTGGCTTTTTGCGTCACATCTGGTGATGCTCAGGGGTTCCTCCTGGCTCTGCACTCAGGAATCACTCCTGGCGGTGCTCAGGGGACCCTCTGGGATGCCGGGGATCGAACCCACAGCGGCCACGTGCAAGCCAAATGCCCTACCCGCTGTACTATCACTCCAGCCCCAATACTGTCATGCTTTTTTGTTTGTTTGGTTGGTTGGTTGGTTTTTTGGGGGTCACACCTGGCGATGCACAGGGGTTACTACTGGCTCTGCACTCAGGAGTTACTCCTGGCGGTGCTCAGGGGACCATATGGGGTGCTGGGATTCGAACCCGGGTCGGCCACGTGCAAGGCAAACGCCCTACCCACTGTGCTATCTTCTCCAGCCCCTGTCATGCTTTTTATTTTATTTTTTTTTAAGTTTGAAAGGGAGAGGGTTTAGGAAAAGAGGAAGAATTGATAAGCAAAGAAAGAGATGCTAGAAAAATCCAGACCACAGAGGGACAAGGAAAGGCAGTTTCTACCAGCCGTCTAGCTGCAAGGTGGACCCCAAATCCAGCAAGAACGATCTCTCTTGTCACTTGCTCTCGCTCCCTGTCCACACACAACACACACACACACACACACATACACAGATACACATACACACACACAAACACACACTCACGCCGCACAGGCCACACTCTTCCTTCCTGCCCAGTCAGCAAGTGCCCGGCCCACACTGCATCTCTTCTATTTCTCCTTCAAACTGGGAGGCTGGGCTGTCCCCCCCCCCAAAACTGACTCCAGCTCCCACTGCCGCCTCCCTGTGAGGCCCACCTGTGTGACCCCCAGCTAGTAACCCCAACTGTGCTGCCCCGTCACTGCCAGCCATCCCGTCTGGCCTCCCAGCACCTTGCACGCAGCACAGTCAGTACTTGGAGCAGGGGCGTCTTGGGGTGCCCTTGCTACCGCTTTCAAACTTGAACTGAGGAAACAAAACAGATGGGATGGGAAGAGAGCGAGAAACCCTTGCTAACAGTAATGTTTACCAGAGAATCTCAATCGTTGGCAAAAAAAATGCCAAGACAAGAAACAAAAAACAGCGTTGTAATTCACGTTTCCTAGGTAGAACACAGAAATAGAAGATCTTCCTGTAAAAGAATGGCACTTGTGAAAATTCAACAAACATCCCATGCAATCAAGAAATGGGGGAGGGGGGAGCGGAGGGAGGGTTGACATGTGTGAACATTCACCACAACGAGTCGGAATTTAATAGAAGTGGGGGAAAAATTGGAAAACTCCATGTTCGCTTTTTTTTTTTTTTTTGGCTATCTTATGTTTTATTTTTCTTGATGACATTTAAAAAATTTAATCAAAGCACCATGATTTACAAGGATATTCTTATTTGGATTTTGTTTTTTTTGTTTGGTTTTTTTTTTTGCTTTTTTGGGGGGTCACACCTGGCGATGCACAGGGGTTACTTCTGGCTCTGCACTCAGGAGTTACTCCTGGCGGTGCTCAGGGGACCATATGGGATGCTGGGAATCGAACCCGGGTCGGCCACGTGCAAGGCAAACGCCCTACCCGCTGTGCTATCTCTCCAGTCCCGGGTTTTATTTTTTACTATTATTATTATTGTTATTATTTCGTAGTTTAATTTATTAAGGCACCAGGAAAGCGGCAGGAAATCTCAAAAAGGAAACGTTGTCTTCTACTGCCCTCATGTGTCTGATACAGGTATTGCAGCTCTGTAGCTCTGCCTCCTCTCTTATCGACGCTGTGATCAGACACTCAGCATTATTACCAAAATAGTCCTAAATTCAGTAATTCCCTGAGAAACAGGAAATGCAGCACCCACAACAATATTTGAAAGTCAAAACTGCGTTGAAACTGACATTACAAATTGTGAGATGTACAGAATAGGCTTTACTTTTTTTTTTATTAGTGAAACACCATGAGGTATAGTTATAGACTTATAAACTTTTGTGCTTGGGTTTCAGTTATACAATGATCAAGTACCCATCCCTCCACCACCACGGGTCCCAGCATCCCTCCCACCCCCCATCCCCCCCCGTCCCACCCTGCCTCTGTGGCAGGGCATTCCCCCTTGTTCTCTCTCTCTTCTTTTGGGTACTGTGTTTTGCAAGAGAGGCATTGAGTGGCAATCATGTTTGGTCTATAGACTACTTTCAGCATGCTTCTCCCACCCTGGGAGGGTCCTCACAACACCCTTTATTTGGTTAGGCTTTACTTTTTTGCTTGTTAGTTTTTGTTCTGTCTGGGGCTCAGAAGTGCTCTGGGGACCATGCTGTGACAAGAACTGAATCCAGGACCTCACCCAGGTAGGCCAGTGCTCCAGCCTGCACCACTGACTCCCTGCCTTTAACCTTTTCAGTAAAGGAATCCTTTCAACTTGGGGGAGGGACCGAAGGAGGGTGAGCCCAAGAGATAGTTCAGCTGGTAAGTCCCTCTCTTGCTTTGCAAGCAGCTGATCTGGGTTCAACCCCTAGCACCACCAGGAGTGATCCCTGAGCTCCGAAAAGACACAGAGAGAAAGAGAGAGAGAGAGAGAGAGAGAGAGAGAGAGAGAGAGAGAGAGAGAGAGAGAGAGAGAGAGAGAGAGAGAGCAAAGCTTTGAGCCCCTGCAAGTGGAATAAAAAAACAGGCTGCTCCGCTGACTGTGGTCAAGGTCACCCCACAAGAGGACCTTGGGGGCTGAAGTGATACTACAGCAGGTAGGGCATTTGCCTTGCACGCGGCCAACCCGGGTTTGATTCCCAGTATCCCATATGGTCCCCTGAGCACCGCCAGGAGTAACTCCTGAGTGCAGAGCCAGGAGTAACCCCTGTGCAATGCTGGGTGTGACCCAAAAAGCAAAAAGAGAGAGAGAGAGAGAGAGAGAGAGGACCTTGGAGCCATGTCAACATTAAAATTCAAAGGGCCAGAGTGCCAGTTAAGGTATTTGCCTTGCATCGAGCTGACCCTGATGTCAGCACCGTGGGGGTGGCTGGACAAACAAACAGAAAACTACAATCATCTTTGGAATCCTCTAGAAAGCTGCAAGGCACACGAACACAATCGGAAATGAATCCACGCCAAGAGCTGGAGGACCCAGGCTGCTGCGGAACCCGGGGCAGTTTCTCCCATCCCAGGAAACTGACCATTGTGATGACCGAGCCTGGTGAGACAGAATCCAATGCCAGGGCCCTGAGAGCCTGAGCCTGAGCATGCGGGGGACTAAATTCCTGTGTGTCAGGCCAGCTGGAGAGAAGAATGGAAAGGACGGGGACATTTGGGGCACTCCTCATTATTAGCTCTCAGGTCTAATATTTCTGCTTTCTAATTTTGGTGGAGAGAAAATTTTGCTTGAGCTGGCACTAAGAATTCTCGATTGTCAGGGGCTGGAGCAATAGCACAGCGGGTAGGGCGTTTGCCTTGCAAGCGGCCGACCCAGGTTCGATTCCCAGTATCCCATATGGTCCCCTGAGCACCACCAGGGGTGATTCCTGAGTGCAGAGCCAGGAGTAACCCCTGTGCATCGCCGAGTATGACCCAAAAAGAAAAAAAAATTCTATATTTTTTTGGTATTGTCTATATTGTCTTCAGCATGTGAGATCATCAACATTAGCAGCTGAATGTCGTGTGTGTGTGTGTGTGTGTGTGTGTGTGTGTGTGTGTGTGTGTGTGTGTCTTTGGGAAAAGTTGGCTTGCGTGAGTCACATGCACAACCCCAGGAGCGAAACAGAAAATCTTTGTTCAAGAATGACTCTGGAGGGCTGCGATAGCACAACGGGGAGGGCGTTTGCCTTGCACGTGGCCAACCCAGGTTCGATTCCCAGCATCCCATATGGTTCCTGAGCACCGCCAGGAGTAATTCCTGAGTGCAGAGCTAGGAGGCACCCCTGGGCATCACTGGCTGCGACCCAAAAAGCAAACAAACAAAAAAAGAATGACTTTCAAGAAGAAAAGTGAGAAAGAAGTGCCTGCCCTGGAGGCAGGCTGGGGGGGCGGGGGAGGGTGTAAGGGGGCAGGTGGTGGGAGGGAACCTGGGGACACTGGTGCTGGGAAATGTCCTCTGCTGCAGGGGTGGGTATTGGAACACCGTATGACTGAAACCCGATCACAAACAGAACAGCAGTTGTCAGGGTCTCTCTCACGGTGATTCAATTTCAAAAAAATGTTAACAGGGGATGGGGGGTGGTGGCGGGAGGGATACTGGGATCATTGGTGGTGGAGAGTGGGCACTGGTGGAGGATACTCCATCATTGTATGACTGAAACGTAAGCACGAACCTTTGTAAGTCTGTAATTGTACCTCACAGTGATTCATTAAAAAAATTTTTTTAAAGAAATTAATTAAAAAATCAAAAACCATGGGGGCTGGAGCAATAGAATAGCGGGTAGGGTGTTTGCCTTGCACACGGCCGACCCGAGTTCCATTCCCAACATCCCATGTGGTCCCTGAACACCGCCAGGAGTAATTCCTAAGTGCATGAGCCAGTAGTAACCCCTGTGCAGTGCTGGGTGTGACCCAAAAAGCAAAAAAAATTTTTTTTAATTAAAAAGTGTTAATAATAAAAAAGAAACTCTC